GCAGCGGGAGGACTCCCCGCCCAACCTCCATCCGGGATGGGCCCCCGCTCTGGGGCGCGCCGCCTCCCGGTCCGGGGGATCCTCTCTGCGGTGACGGTCTGAAGGGCCTCAGCCCCGGGGAGGGTGGACAGCCAGGCGCGGGGCCGAACCTAGCTGACCTTGGCAGGGCCAATCTGGTGCGGCCGTCACCACGCGCAGGTGAGGAGCCTCCTCCGCGTTTCACACCTCAAAGCCTGGCCTGAGCTATAGGGTTGCGCGGCTGCTGCTGCTGCCTGAGTGGGCTCTGGGTTCTCCGCGGCCTGGGTTCCAAGGACCCGGCAGAGTGCGGGCCTTCCTTTAGCACGCATCAGCTTCACAGATCTGTACTAAGCGCCCACTGTGTGCCAGGCGCCTGGCCAGCGAAGGACTGAGAACAGACGCGGCCAATCTCCGGAGCTCAGAGAGCCTTAGGGCGGGTGTGGGGAGCAGGCGCCAGACACATGACTAAAGTGATTTTAGGTTGAGGAAAGTGCTCTGGTGATGAGGAGAAGGGGTGACCGTAGGGTCTGACTTAAAAGGTGATTTTTAAACTAAGACCTGGAGATTGGAAAGAAGCCAGCAGTGTGAGTAGGGGAAAGGTGTTTCTGGAAGAGGGGAAAGCAAATAAATACAAAGGTCTGGAGATGGCAGAGTTTTAGGATGAAACAGAAAGAGGGACGACAACACTGTGGTGGGCGTTGCGATTTTAGAGCAGGTCTAGGAAACCATTGAAGAGTTTTGATGAGGTTCAAGTTTTGAAAGCTCATCTCATTGTGGTTGCTATGGGAAAGTCAGTTAATGGCCAACCTGCTTTTGCCAGTCTAGCTGTGCCGCCTAGAGTTGCTTAGTCTCTGAGCCCTTCTGGGAAAGGGGGTTGTTGTTCTGCATCTAGCTTATGAGAGAGGAAGTGAGGGGCCATCCACATCTGAGACCAATGATTACAGAGACCTATGAAAACTCCTTGAAATAATAAGACCTACCTCAGAGTGTTGTGAGGGTAGAATTAAGTGAATTCCATAGAAGCACTTAAAGCAGTGCCCGGCCCGGAATAAGTGCCCTCTAAATGCTAGTGATGGCTATTATTATCGTGGAAACATTGTAGGAGACCAATGAGGGAGGCTTGGATTAGGATGTGGCAGCAGTTGATGGTAGAAGTGCTTCACTTCCTTCACTCAAGGAAAGCTTGATTCAGATATGGATGAGGGGTGATTCCTGTTTTGGGGAACTGGGGGTCAACTGTGGGAGACTGGTCTGTACACAGATAATCATCACAAGATGCATCAAAAACAACAGTGGTGTTTAATTAGCCAGGTTTTTCCCTTTTGTTTTTGTTTTTCTTTGTTCTGTCACAGCTTTGTTCTTAATGACTGTTTCTTAGTGGGTGTTCCCATGGCGGGCTGCTACAATCATATGAGTTGATTTCCTGTTAAAATCAATAGTCCTTGCCTCCCTTGCCTTGTTTCTGCTCCTTGTTCCCCCTCCTTTGTGTCCCCTTTTCTTGATTTAATCCCTCAACTTGGATCCCAAACACTTTGTAGTGGTTGCTGCAGGAGAATATCGTAGAAATATTTGCACTCTGTGTCAACTCAGGAACAATTGGTTTCAAGCTTTTCTTGCCATAGCAACCGACTTTGGTATATTGTTTATGAGAGAGAAAGTAACAGCCCAGCCACATCTGAGACCACTGATGAGAGGTCTTTGAAAATCGATTGAAGTTCCACTTTATTTTCTGGGAATTATGTGATATACATCCTTATAACCACTTCTCCGAATCTTAAGGCCACAGATTTTTCTGGCACTCGTGGGGAATTTTAATAAAGTACTTGCCTTTAAAAGTACTTTATAAGCAACTATTTTTGCACTGTAAAATAATGTGCTCCATGAAGCATTTTCTCTCCAGCTCCCCTTTATGTGGTTAAAACCAGGCATCTGTTAGATCTCAGTAAAACTTATTTCTGAAGCAGATCCTGGGAAAAACGTAAAAACTCCTTTAGAAATACCTGCAGGAAATCTCTCACATGGAAACCATAAATTCTCTAGGAGAAAAAAAGATGCTTGGGAGCAAAACTTCCCTGTGGGGTGTATCTCCCCTCTGTGTTCTAGAGTTGATGGGGCACTGAGCTGGCTCTTGGCCAAGAACTAGAATACATCCTGACCACCATTCTGTCCTGCTGTCTAGTAGTCTAATTCCAGCTTCGACAAGACTCTCAACAGTGTTAGGAGGTTTTGTGACTCTTCCTCACAGCTCTCTAGATGAGCAGCTCAGAATTGCTTTCAAGAGTAAGAAAGCACTTAAGTCAAGCATTCTTGTTACATGGTTGTTGGGCAGGAATTCCTGGTTTGTCTGGCCTGGTACAGGGCTCTGAATCACACCAATGCATTTGGTCCACATGGCACAGTAGGGTTATGAGAGCAAGAGGTGACACCCTTCGAATTATTAATTATTTGACATATATATGTGTGTGTGGAGGTGTAGTGCTGAGGATCAAACCCAGGCCTTTACAGTTGCTAAGCCTGCACTGTACCACTGACCTACGTCCCCAGCTCACTTTTAAAACAAGCAGTAATACTCATGATTAAAACTTTACACATAGGGGCTGGGGACTTAGCTCAGCACTTCGGTGGCCTGCCTTGCAAGCGCAAGGACCTGAGTTGAATCCCCGGTACAAAAAAAAAAAAAAAA